TCTGGGGAGTGGTGGTATCGGTGCCTTCTCGTTTCCCCAAGGGGTGCCGCTGGGAATGTGATTCGAGAGGGATGCCGTTGCGTGATATCTGGCCCCGAACCAAGCCTCAGGGTCGGTTTTTGGGGTCGCCGCGTCGATCTTGGCGGCCACAAATCGGGGCCGGTGTTTTGTCAAGGAGTTGCATGCCCATTCCCAGCCCCCCCCCATCTGCGATGCAGAATGATGTAGACGTGGCACATAATCAGCCATGTAGCGACAGAGAGTTGCCTGTGTAGGTCCAGCATGGGCAGCCATGCTTTTGGCCAGGGAGCGATTCTCTCGCAGCCAGGGTGTCTCCTCCTCAGTGCAGCTCTAGCTGAAAGGACCTCGTCCCTTCACGCGAGCATCAGGCCACACATCCGGAGGAGGAGGAGGAGGAGGAGGAGGAGGAGGAGGGGGAGGAGGGGGAGGAGGAGGAGGAGGAGGAGGAGGGGGAGGGGGAGGGGAGGAGGAGGAGGAAAAGGAGGAGGAGGAGTAAGAGGAAGGAGGAGGAGGAGGAGGAGGAGGAGGAGGAGGAGGAGGAGGAGGAGGAGGAGGAGGAGGAGTACGTCCAGGTCCCCCGCGGGGGCGCGTCGACGATCGCGCGCTGCGCGCGTCGCAGCCTGGGCCTCGGAGGTGCCCTTCGCCGGGGCGGCGGCGCGAGGGCGCGAAGATGCAGTCGGGGCGCTGAAGAAGGAACCTCCTCCTCCTCCTCCTCCTCCTCCTCCTCCTCCTCAGCTGCTGGTTCAGACGTGCACAGCGCGCGGGCAGCCCGCTCCAAGGTAGGAAACCTTCCCCATCAGGAGCGAGGATACTGTACCTCACCTCCCCCTCCTGCAGGAGGCATACTGCATGCATGAAAAGTGTTGGGAGGACTCTTGCAGTTATTCTGACGATGAGAGTGTGCACGTACAACCCGTTGTCAGCATCGCAGGAGAGGCACGAAGATATATCCAGTGAGTTGGGATCGTGGGACGTAGTGCTAGTATCAGGGACATGTCAAGTGGCACAGCCCGACCACGGAGCGCAACAGCATGCACACGCACGACACTGGGGAGTGCACTTTGGGAAAAGGAAAGGAAAGTTGGTGTCGGACGCATGCGGGGTCACGATCATGGTACACAATCGGATTCCTAGTCGAGCGTTGCACACTGTAGATGTACCTCCAGTGCAAATACGAGGGCGGGTAGGCGGCATTCGTATTCAGACGAATGAAGTTGACTTCGTGGCCTTCTGTATCTACCTCGCCCCGATGAGTGACGCGAAGCACTCATTGGTTGCAGAAAGAGTATTCAGGTGGATAGATCAGCAGCTGGATGCACTTGGGGTGAGATGTGCGATCATAATAGGAGGGGACGTAAATAGTGGACTAGGAATACATCGAGATGAGGACGGCACCATGCAGAGGACAAGAAGTGTGACCCTAGGAGGAAAAAACCTGTGTTGCGAGAGCGAGAATGGTAGGGCAGACAGAGAGTTCTGCTACAAGAGCGGGCTGGCAGTGGTAACTACTTTCTACGAACACGGACCTACCTTTTACGGCCCCAAGGGGCAAGAGTCACATATCGAGCACGTGGCTGTCCCCATTGGAGCCATCCCGCTTGTATCTCAGCGCAGCTGCCTATATAGAGCAGCAAAAAGACTCCAGACGATCCCAGATAGGAGGTTCAGGGACCACATCCCGAAAGGCATACACGTGGAGATGTCAATCACCAACCACGGGTACCCGACAGGTGACAATGACAAGATAGATCGGGGGTGCCTGATGAGGTGCCTGCAGAAAAGGTTACAGAAGAGAAGAGTTATTCACAAGGATAGACGAACCGATAAAAAAGGTACCTACAGATATCTGGGAGCAGCTGTATTTTAAGAAGTCCCCTGATTTCCTTTGGAATAAGTACGTGGAGTGTGTGAATGCGGCGTTGCACGGCACGTTCAAGCAGGGGCCGCGCAGCAATGACAGCACATACAGCATGATGCGCACGAGAAGGATGCAGCTACTGGAGGAGAGGAGGCAACACAGGGAATGACTACACGAGGAGGGCACTGAGAACGGCAGGGCAAAGGTGGAGGAGGAACTGAAGAGAGTGACTGCAGCACTGAAGGAGCTCAGGGAAGCACATGCAGCCGCAGAGCGAGAAGGTATCGTCCGAGAGATATGGGAGGCATACAAAGAAAACAGATTCGCTGACATGCACAGACTAAGGGCAGACTATCAGCGGAACGGGCGGGGGCCAAATAAGAGATTTTACTTCAGCCACCGTTGTCACTGGTCAGGCGAGCAGTGGAGGGAGGAGCTAGGCCGTGACCCGCATGAGGGGGGGCTGGCGTGCACCCCGCTCGACTGGGAAAAGACTAGGCAGGACTACGCAGATGACTGCGAGCTGGACGACGGTGACTTTCCATTCCTCCCCTCGGATAGCGACCTAAAAACAGAGTGCAGAAAGATTTTAAGGCCATGAAAGCGCACTGCAGAAAAGCAAACAAAAACGACGTGCATATCCAGAGTGGGGTCTCCCAGTAGAAATGGTGTGGATGTTGATCGAGCCAAATGTCAACTTGCCTGGACCAACAGAGAAAACGAAGAGACTAGAAGCACAAATGATAAGGGCAGCGGGGAAGGAGGGGGGCGAGGAGGAGCTTGAGAAGTACAGCGCGCACTACATCCTAGCCAAAGGAAGAAAGATCCTGCAGAAGCTAGGTTGGAACCCAGGCGAAACCGCAGGAGCACGTCAGCGCGCAGAGGGAGTGCCGGCACAAGAAGTGATCGAGGACCCACATTGGCAATTTGGCAGAACGGAACTATCGGGAGTGGGAATGCCATTATTTAGTGAAGTAGAATATGATGCACCGAAGATGTTGCTGAGGATTATGGAGCACTTCAGACAATGCCAGACAATGCCGCTATACATGCTACGATCACATAGCTTCGCAGCAGAGAAAGCAAACAACAAGTTAGGAATAGCGGGACAGCGTATCATGCACGCGTACTGCGCAGCTGGCATGGCATGGCACAGTGGGATACATAAAAGAGCGTTGCATATTACTCGACCTCACTTTGCACGCGGAGGACTGGCGCATAGGCCAAGGGAAAATGCAGTGCTAGTATTGCTGGCCACGAAGTGGAGATGTGAGCAGGCAGGTAGATCGCCTATCATGGGCAATTTTGACTGCACAAACGCATTCGCATCGACCGACAGAGCATTACTCCGAGAACAAATTGATCGCACCACAGAGGATCATGACATTCCGTGCGCATATGGAGCGCTGGAGCACGCTGCGTTGCCCCTGCAGGCAGCCGACGAAAGGGTTGACCTGAAAAGCAACAAAGGGGCCCAGGTGGGCTTCGCGCTGGCTCCCCGCGACTTCGATGATAGCTACAACCCAATCGTCACAGGCTGGCTAGAGGGAGAGGGGGAACTGGAAGGGCAGCAGGTGAATGACACTCCGCACCCCATAAATGAGAAGTACTACGACTTGAGCATCTAGCACCTTCATGGACGATATTACAAAAAAATAACGATGCTACCTTTCGCAGCAAGAAAAGAGGAAGTGGTAGAACAGATGCACCTGGTAAGTGGTAGACTCGAGGAGGCCCTAACAGCAGGAAGTTGGCGGCTTAACCCTGACAGGACAAACCACCTTCTAGTATTGCGAGGTGAAAGAAGCGACCAATGCACGCGAGCACTGAGGAAACAGACTAGTGGACTCAGGGGAGAGGCTTTGTGAGAGATGAGAGTGTTGGGGCCCTATATACCTTCGGACCAGGGACTAGGAAACGAAATAAGGAGGCGCTGCGACGCAGCAAGAGCAGCGTGGAGGCAGTGTAGCACATTCTGGTCGTCCAAGACCTCGAAGGTGATCAAGCGAACCATGTTCGTGGCATTTGTTGTGGGGGCAGCATTGGGCGGGTTGTCTTGTTTTGTCATAAGTAAGAAGTACACGGACACGATTGACGTCATGCTGTGTAAGTTACTCAGATATCTGTCGAGAGGAAAGAACTGTTGGACTGACGATCAGGGAAGGAACAGGACAACGACGGTGGAGGAAGTGTTCAGGGAGTGGAGGATCAATAGGAGTGCAGACGAGCTCAGAGTTAGAAGGCTAACATGGTGCCAGCGTTGGTCGCAGTTCCCGAACGACCACGAGGCAGTCATAGCAGCAGTCTTCGGCACGTCTAAGAGTGACCAGAGCATAGGGATAAAGCGCACCAACGAGCACAATAATATTACACAGCCCACACCGTGGACAAAGCAGTACTTGGAGGACATGCGCTACCTTGCAAAGAATGGTGAAGCATTTCAGGAGTGGTACGATAAACGGTCGAGCGACATGAGTTTATTTACTGATGGAACCGAAGAAAAAGAGAAATGGCTTAAGACTGACCCTTCAGCGTTGAATAGCATCGCAAGAGAATGGAAACAAAGTAGGCCACATACCGAAACCAAAGAGCCCGAGGAGGTACACCCAACGGAACTGGATAAAATATGTTGGTGCGACTATAGGAGCGTGAACTCAGAAGGGGGCGGGCGCGGTGTGCGGGTGCAGATTTCGGACAGCAGCAGCACTGGCAGCACGCAGGAGAGTACAGCACAAGGTAGAGCCGCTCATACCTAAGCTTGTAATTACGAATCAGTGCCCGTGGTGCAGATCGATCTTTTCCAGTCAGAGAGTGGCAACGGATCATGCAGCAAGGGCGGCAGAGGGGGCGGGCATCTGCTACATTGCTTTTTCGAAGTGGGAACACAAGCTGATTGAGGCAAGAGTGAGAGTGAGCTGATCTGTAGTATCTGCCAGTATCAAGCTAGCAGTTTGGAGGGCTTTCAGACACACGTCACGTGTCACCACCCTGGACCGCACACTGTACGATTTGGAAGAGATGAGGGTGTCCTGGGCGTCGGCGAAGAAGAAGAGGGCGGTGGAAGGAGCCAGCGGAGCGGACAGCAGCAGCGGGGGCCAGCAGACGTCTGGGAAAGGAGGAGGTGGCAAGGGCAGAGGGCACAAGCAAGTGAGATCAGGCAACGTCGCCGCAGCCCCAGAACTCCAGCAAGCCTTGGTCACTGTCCAGAAGCTAACCCTCCGCGTCGCAGCAGAGCAGAGAGACGCGGCCAACATATGCACCGAGTTCTGGATCCCCCCGCGCACAGCCGCAATTATTCGAGAAGATTTCGAGGCTGGACAGGGGTACCACCAGGCTGTAAAGGAAGCGGGAAAAGGACACAAGCTGGGCCCCCCTCGCGTGCACATAGCGGCGGGGGTGATCGGGGCGATGCGCGAGGCGTTCGGGGGCGACGGGACAGAGGGAGAAGCCAAGAAAACACTCGCGTCTTGGATGGAAGCAGCAGGGCCAGAGGAGTACGGGAAAGCATACGTGGACGAGTTTTTTTCAGGATGTTACGATTGAGGGAATGCTACAGCCCAGACGGAGCGCCAGAGCAGGAGCGCAAGGCAAAACTTCAGTACTCACTCAACATGAGCCCCGACCTCAGGACGGTGATCCACCTGGCCACGGGGCCCCCAGCTCAAGTGCCCACGGTCGACATGAGGTCCTTCCAGAGCGCCTCCACATTGGGGCTGATCAAAGCGGGGGGAACCAAACCGACGGGAGCAGGGCCCAGGACGGAGTTGGAGAGGACGGTGGAGCGCCAGCTGAGGAATTTCCAGAGAGTGTGATGCAGCATGCACGTGCACTTGCCCGCGACCCTCGGAAGCTTGCGAATCTCTACAAGATGCGGGATAACGGGGTGCAGAGAGTCGGGCAGCTAGTCAGAGCAGTTGAATTCGTTAGGCGTCAGATGTCCCAACAGTTGCAATATGCGCATTTAAGTGGCAGTATTTTTTTACACTGAAGACGCACAGTATCATAGTAAGGGAGAGAGGAGAGATGTCGTTGAGTGTAGCCGTCTCGATCGAGCTGTTGCAGGGGAACAGCATTGAGCAGCTGACTGTACTTGCCTGCGCGGACGAGTGCCATGGCAACCGCGCCAGCATCTGCGACGGGAGCGACCGCAGCGAAGGCTGCTCCAGCTGTTGCTACGGGTGCGAATGCAGTGCCAGTACCTCGCCAGCCGACAGGCCCCCCTCCTGGTCCTCCTGGCCCGATCCGCTCAAAGGCAGCACCAGGTCGCAGGTCCAGAACCAGAATGATGACCTGAGCCGTGTGCATGCTGCGCAGCAGGCACACCTGTCGACGGGCCGCGTTCTGAGGGATCACTACTCTATCATTCTGGGGCAGTGCAGTATGTTGAACAACCAGCTCAGCTACATCCAGCTCCAGAGAGACAATATCAAGAGCCCAGTTGTGAATGACACGCACTTGGAGGCAGATCGCGTCACCACTAGGCGCAACCTAGACAGTCAGATTAGCTACCTGACAGATGAGCTGGAGCGTCTGCATAGTATCATCAGGGTGCTTGATGAGTCAGACTACGGGGTGCAGAGATTCGACTGGGAGATCTCACGTCCAAGCGGGAGCAGTGAGAGGGATGCGGGGCAGTAGTGCCAGCTGTCAGCGTGTCTCCCTCCCCTCGAGAGCTGCTGCTGCCGCTTGCCTCCCTCCCCCCTCGCCCCGGCGCCCCGCCCGACCGTCGCCGTCTACGGGCTGCTGCTGCTGTATGCGCACAGCCAGCAGGACAGCCCTGGACGCGAGGGGGGTGCAGGCCCAGTCAGCGACCGTCGATTTTTTTTTCCCTTTCTTTTTTTCCTCCCAGGCCTCTAGGGGCCAGAGGTTCAGCAGCGCGGGGTGTGCGGCTCGCTCCATGAAGGAGTAACCGCACCCCCCCCCCCCCGAGTTCTGAGGTTTAAAATGCGTCGGGAGCCTCTGCCGAAGCGGCAGCGCTTGCAGTATGAAGCTGCGGCGCTCGCCGTAGGCGGCAGGGGGGGACAGGCAAAGGTCCCATCCTTGAATGCTTCCATACAGTACCTAGGGGCAGCTAGTGTCACAAGTGGCTTGACCTTTGCCCCCAACGGCTCCACCACCACCACCACCTCCTCCTCCTCCTCCTCCTCCTCCTCCTCCTCCTCCTCCTCCTCCTCCTCCTCCTCCTCCTCCTCCTCCTCCCTCCTCCTCCTCCTCCTCCTCCTCCTCCTCCTCCTCCTCCTCCTCCTCCTCCTCCTCCTCCTCCTCCTCCTCCTCCTCCTCCTCCCCCTCCCCTGCCGGAGGAGAGCGGGCGGGGCGCCGGGCGCGGGCGGTTCCCTGGCCTGGCCGCCCTCTCCAGGTCGGCAGGCGGCATCTACACTCAGGTATACACTCGGGGCGCCGAAGAAGGACCCCTTTTCGTTGGGGAGGGGCTCGGCGTTCCTTGACTGTTCTGCAGTTTGCCTTTCCTTTTCCCGAGGCTTCCCATGGGGACAATCGAGCCTTGACTGATGGGAGAAGGGGGCCCCGTTCCTTATTTAGGGTTCCTTAGGTCCACGCCCCGACTGTGTCCGCGCGCCGCTCCTCGCGGTGCGCGGTGCGCGAAGCGCGGCGACCGAGCGGCACTTCCGAGCGCACGGCTCGCAGCGCAGCTGCTTTCGAGAGGGCGCGCGGGGGGGGCGCACGCTGGCGCGGGAGGAGCTGCGCGCACGACAGGGAGTGCCCCGAGCGCAGATGCGAGCGATCCGCAGTTTGCCGATCTGCGTTTCCCTGGGCTTAAGTCGGGCGTGTCCCTCTGCAGGAGGAATGGTCAAAAGTAGCCAAAACATATCCTTGGGACGATGCTTTTTTCCTTTTTCGACAAAAAGATGGTTTAAGATATGTTTGAGTTTTCGCTCAAAATCCGCCCGCAGGGGGACGTGCCCGACCTAAGGCTGGAGTTTTACTGCACGGCGCGCGAACGAAGCGGTCGTCGCCGAGGTTCTGCGATCGCCTCCGCTGCGGACACTAGAGGGGCGCAGGGCACGGAGTTCCGGGCGGATGCGTTTGCAGGTCATCGGGTCCTCGGAGTGGGTGCTCGCTCCTCTCGGTGCCTCCTCCTCCTCCTCCTTCCTCCTCCTCCTCCTCCTCCCCCGCCTCCTTGCTCCTCCTCCTCCTCCTCGGTTCGGTTCGGTTCTCGCCGGTTCGGTTCTGAATGAATTCGATTCGGTCCGGTTTGGTTTTCTACGTTCCTGGTTTTGGACTGGTTCGGTCCGGTTCGGTCACGGTTCTCGGTTCTCGGCTCGGTGCGGCCCCTTCATTTTTTTGCGAATATACCACCTCCAAAGAATTAGCAGAGAACGAATAGTTTTTCAGCCCGAGCGCTGATAGCAGACTGATTTCAGGCGTCTCGATACATTTAACTAGCGCCCCTGATGATTCCCTTCCCATTGCTGTGCTGAACAGCTCTGTAGCTCATCTGCAGCACGAGCAAAACCAAGAAAACCAATACCATCTCCAAGAAATGAGCAGGGGAAGGCTCAAGATCCCACGATCTGGTGCCCGATCGACTTCGAGGAGCAACAGTACTACGCACGGTCTACATCCCTCGTCGAAATTGATCGCAAGTTTTAGCCGCGACCTGGCGGCGCCCCCCGACCCCCAATTTCAATGGTCACGCCGGCGCCGGCGACTTCGAGATTCTCTTCGGGAACCGCCGGCCGCGATGCGCCTGTCGATGAACATGGAAATTCGGGGGCGACGGGGGTGGAAAAAACTTGCGTTCAATTTCGACGAGGGTTGTAGGTCGCCCGCGGGGGGCGCGATGGCGATGATGATCGCGCCCCGCGCGTCGCGCTATGCGGGCCAGAGTAACCGCCCTTCTCCAAGAGGGCGGCGCAGGGGCGCGGCGGCGCGAAGATGGTCATGATCAGGCCCAGCCCAGCTCATCGTCGTGAAACTCAGTTCGGAGCTTGGGTGCGCCGTCATCGCACCACGCTGCTTCGACGACGCATCGGCGTTTTGACTGGGTATGGATTCCCCTGGCCCACCTCCGGCTTGAAATCCGCATCATCGGCTCGTCGACACAGGCACTGCGCAGAGAAGATCTCGAGCCTGCTCCTGTTCGCTTCGCGAACACACTCCAGGATCAATCTGCTCGCAGGGGGGCGGGGAGGTGGGGGGGGGGGAACGGAGGGGATGAGCGGGACGACGGTGCCAGGGGGGGGGAGCCAGAAGTCTTTCGCCGCAGGTTTTTCGCAGGTTTCAGCGTTTGCACGCCGTTTCTGGGCCCTGGGACCATCAAACTGCCATTCGGGACTCGAATCGACGACAGCGATGAAAATGCTTGATCGTTGTTCATAACTAACAACGGCGACCACGGTTCGAGGGCTCGAGGTGCCAGCGACTCGGAAACGTCGAAGCCGGAGGTAGGCCGAGCGCGAACAGGGGGAGATATTGCCCTCCCTTGCTCATCCTCTTCCACCTCATCATCATCGTCCTACCTCACTATTCGTCTTCCCTCTCCTCCTCCCCAGTCTTCTCTTCCTCACTCCTCTTCTTCTTATTATCATTTTTCTTCCTCCTCCTCACCCCTCTGCACTACTCTTCCTCCTCCTCCTCCTCCTCATTTCCTCCTTTCTTGATCATACTCGTCCCTCTTAACTCCTCCTCCTCCTGCTCGCTCCTCCTTCTCCTCATTCAACCTGAATCCTTCTCCTCATCCTCACCCCTCATCCTCACTCCTCCTGCTCCTCATCACCACCACTGCCACCACCACCACCACCACCACCATCATCATCATCATCATCATCATCATCATCGTCATCAGCATCAGCATCAGCATCATCATCAACATCACCATCAACAACATAATAATCGTCATCATCATCATCGTCATCATCATCATCAGCCTTATCCTCATCCTAATCCCCACGTTATCATCCTCATCCAAATCATCCTCATCGCCCGCGTCATCCTGATCATCTTCATTCCTTACTCACTCGCATGTACTCATTCCTCTTCACTCCTCCTCCTCATCCTCCTCCTCCTCCTCCTCATTCCTTATACTCACTCCTTCTTCTCACTCCTCCTCCTCCTCCTCCTCCACCTCCTCCTCCTCCTCCTCCTCCTCACTCTTCACTCCTCGCTCCTCACTCCTGACTCCTCACTCCTGACTCCTCACTCCTCCTCATCTATCTCTTCCTCCGCATCCATCTCCTCACTCCTCCTCCTCCTCCTCCTCCACCTCCACCTCCTCCTCCTCCTCCTCCTCCTCCTCGAGCCCGCCATCGCCATCCTTCTTCATTCTGGGCGTCCTCGCCTCGCCCGCCCCCTTCTCCGCGGCTCCCCCTTCTCGGCGACCCCTTCTTCTCCTCGCTCCCTCTCGTCATCCTCAGCGCCCCCGTCTCCGCGGCCTTCTCGGCGGCGGCGGCGGCGGAGCGAGCGAGCCGTGCCTCTTCCCCCCGTCCACGCCCGCGACTGTGAGAGGGCAGGCGGGCGACGTCGCCCGCGGCTGCCTCCCACGCTCTACTCGGAGGCACCTCTTGGGGGGTCTCCTCGGCTCCGCCTGGGGGAGGGGCGGGGGGAAGAACGGGACGTGAAGGGGGGGGAGGAGGGGAGGACGGGGCTGGGGAATGAGGAATGGGAGGAGGGAGGGGAGGAAGGGGAGGAAGGGCGGGACGGAGAGGGGAGGGAGGAGGGGAGGAAAGGGGTTCATGACCTCAGTACTGTCAAGGGCCTGCAGCTCTCCTCCTCCTCCTCCTCCTCCTCCTCCTCCTCCTCCTGGTCGTAATTCTCCTCTCTCTTGTCTGGGCAATTGGGAGGGCCCTTCATCGCCACGGCTGCACGCGGCTTGACGCCAGGAGAAGTTTGGGGAAGGGTCTCCAGAGGATCTGGGTTGTTGGATTCTCCCGAAAGGGAAGGGGGGGAGGAGCGGGAGGGGGATTGGGAAAGGGGAGTTACGAAATTTGCTGCATGCAGCTGGTTTCGGCCCCACCGAGGGGCCCATTCCTCGATACATTCCCGCCTCCGGCGCTGGGAGGCGCCGGGAAAATCAGCTACGTGAGCTGATTCTCACCCCCCCCCTTTGCTATCCCCCGCTTTCGCCCGACCCGAGAAAGGGAAGGGGGGCGGAGCGGGAGGGGGAGAGGGGGATGAGGGGACTAAACGGGAAGGGAGGAGAGGGTAGGGTTAGTTTCGGTTTGCTTTGGGATTTCGGCGGGTTCGGAGCGATCCTGGTTTGTCGTGGAGCCGTCTCTTGAGCGTCTCGGGCTGTCCTGGGTGTTTGGGGGGCCCTATTGGGAAGATGTTTGTCCCAGCGGGTTGGTATCAGAGGCGGCCCTCAGGGCTTCCGGTGGCCATCCTGATCCCCGAAATTGATACCGAACAATTTCATCATTGACGCTGCGCGTATCCCCAGCAAAGCCCCACGCCAGGGTTTGCTCTCGTCTTGTTTTTGCCTTTGCAGGTTGCAAACGCTGCCCTGCTTGCTCTGCGTCCGACTCGTTTCGTGCGCCCGCGGACAAACAAGTATCCCCAGCAACGATGGCGAGGCGAGCTGCCCTGATCAGGGTAGTGCAGAACCATCCAGTGGAACAGACAGGTCGGGTCAGCCGTCAAGCGGAAACCCAGAGTCAGCCTGGTCTTATTCAGGAGTGAAATTGTTGAGCCTGCCGCCGAAGGAGCATGAGCATGAGCATGACCATATGACGAAGTCAACACTACTATAAGAGCATAATACATTGCACCTTAAATTACGCCCCTGGGACGTCGGGATGCTTGCTCTGCACGGCTGACGACCTTCGGCCACAGCCCACGGGAGATTCGGTCTAAGTATTCGATTCCAGACGAGGTTAGCTTACGGAGGCAGGGCTGACCAAGCTTGAGAATCTGATTAGCACCGAAACCAGCACAGTCACGGCAATACCATAACTTTAATGGGCCATGAAATTGCATATTATGGGATTCGTGAACGCTCCCCCCCGCTATATGGAGGGGGGCCTGAGGGGGTTTAAACCAGAGCACCCCATTATAATGGATGGGCTGAAAACACGGAGTTAGCCTCCAAACGACAGTGGTGGCTCTGGAGGCTGACCCTCCGCATCTCGTGCAACCCCGCCCCGTGTCATCCAGACAGTGGGAGGAGGAGAAGAGGGAGCACGAAGCAGCAGAAGGAGGGACGACGACGGGGGAGGACGATGGTTTCTCCCGCGGAGCCTTGCTCTCCGCATTCATCGCATCCAACGTCGACCTTAGGATCCGCATCCTGACCAGCCGCGCCCGCCTCTCGTGCATCAGCACACGGTGGCGGATGGCGATGGGCAACCTGGCCTCCGCGGCCGCCCATCCCGCCACCTCGTCCACCACGCTGTTGCCCGTGATCATCCACCTCGGCGCCCGCTGCTGCACCACGTCGCGCCCCGTGAGGTGGGAGTTGACAAAGAAGACACTGATGCTGCGCTCTGGCGCTGCGGCCACGAGCTGGCCGAGACGGGCCCACAGGTCACCGTCGGGCCCCGACGGGGCCAGGAACTTCTGCTCGAACCAACCCTGTACGACCGACTCACAGTCCGAAACGAAAGTGATCGCGCCGACTGTGCACCACACGGCCAGGAGGAGAGCTCGCAGTTCACCCCGAGCGACCACCTGGCGAGGCCCAGCGAGATGACCCCTCACTGTGGTCAGCAGCTCCACCGACGGCTCCAGCTGGGTGAAGACTGCAACGCCCAAGCCTACTCTGCGGAAGGTCGGGCTGCTGGTGTCGGCACCACCGCTGGCATCGCCGAACACCAGTAGCGGCTCCTCCGTAGTGCCGCCGCCCAGGAATCCCTCGACCACGTCGTCGTTGTTCGTGGCCACCCAGCACTCCTCGGACGGTGGCGGTGGTACCTCCGTCCAGGGCTGAGGCATCATGCCTCGCAACCAGAACGCCTCGTCTGAGTCAGACTGAACCAGCGCCTGTGAAACCAACTCATCTGACTCAGTATATGCAGAACTGCCTGTATTGCATTCGCATTCCCAAATTCTGTGCTTCAGCGTCTCAGTCTTCGTACCACAACGTCCACACATCTCAGAACCACGATACTTGGGCATCTCTGCTCTACGCCTGGCTCTAGGCCAGACACCTCCAACTGCACACGAAACCATGACTTCGCCAAGTCGGTGCCCAATCACTGGGACTGCCGAGAGCTGATCGATAAGAATACGATAGGAACGACAATCAGCTCCCTGTTCGAGGCCCCCCCCCCAGCATAGTGACGACTCCCTCCCACCCACAAGCGACTGCGAAGTGTATCAGCGAAATCTGCCAAACAGCCGTCGTGCCTGTCCAGTGCGTTGGTGCCGCTGTACATGCTGTCGTCGAAGCGCCACTGGTCGCCCTCGAACGGGTAAGGCGCTGGGATGGTCCACCCTGTCTCCTCCTGAGCTCCCCATCCCGCTTCTAGCAGGTGAAGAACCACTGCCGACAGGGGGCCGCGAACATGGCGGGAGCGCTGCTCTGGAGGTAGGTGAGCCATTCGCTGGAAAACTGGGGTCCAAGCCTGCTGGATGCCCTTCCTCATGTCAGGATGCTCGCGCCACAAATGCAACCAAAGATCTAGACACTCCACAGGTAGTTTGATGCCAGGGTCGTGGTCGCCTGCTCGCAGCGCCAAAAGGGTGGTGAGGCACCTTCCTTTTGTAGCCGCAGCGCAGGACATACCAAGCTTCCTCCTGGCTTGGATCATGCGCGCACCAAACGTACCAAAAATCTGATGGCCGTCGACACCTGCAGCCTGCGATCCTTGCTTCTCCAACCGACGTGTGATAGAATACTTCTTTGACGTGAAAGCGAAACGTCGGATCTTGGCGCTCATACCCTTGCTTTTCTCATCTCGCTTAGCCCGCGTCTGTCGTGCCAGCCGTGCACCACGTGAGAGATCCACACCGAGATACCCTGCCTGTAGCTTAGGACGTACTGTGAAGCCTGCGCGTCGCACTGCTCGTGAAATCCACTCAGCATCTTGCAGCTTGGCGCAGACTATGACGGACTTGGGCGAGACGGCCAACTTCTGTGTCTCCAGAGCCTTGCAGGTGGCAATCAGACATGATACCATCTTGATGCGAAGATCCTTCCTCGACCCTCTCATGAACTGTGATAAATCGTCGATCCAAATGCGGTGGCTGAGCCTCGGGTGGGCCACCGTGATCTTGGAGAGGACATGGTGCGTCAGGCACCGCCCGAAGCGAGTCCCAGAGCGGAGACCATGGACTATGCTCCGAGTCGGTTGGAACGGCTGAGAGAAGGCTCCCAGTTGTCCCAACGAGCGCATGGCGACGCACATCAACAGCTCCAACTGAAGAACTCGAGCTGGGAAGGATAAGTTGAGGGCACAACGCGCGAGACATGGCCACTCTATGGAATCATAGAAAGATTGGATGTCCATCAACCCATCAGCACAATGTACCTTCAACTGATGCGATACCTCCTCCTGTACCGCTCGTACGAATGCTTCTCTAAGACTGGAATTGCCGCGTATGACCGCGTCCCACTGTTGCTCGGTGGATGTGGACCATGTGCGTACAAGAGGTTCACGCATCATGCTCCATACTCGTCCAAGCATTGCCACTAGTCCAATTATTCGATCACCAGACACCTTTTTCGGCAACATCCGTCCGATGATAAGTAAAACTTGCCCTGGCCAACAACCGTAGAGCTCGCAAGCTTCAAAAAGAATTGCCAATTCTGCCAAGGCTGAATCAGGTAATCTTTCGAAGTCCGTGGGGGTCATCATATCAACTCCGAGTCCTGCCTTGGCTTTCATCTGCCGCAGCGCACGTCAGATATCTGGGACCGAGATCATGGGCAACTCCTCGTCCACCGCCACTTGGTGAATAGAGTGAAATGTGTCCAGAACCTCTTCCTCATTCAAGGCTGACGGCGACCAAAGAGAGTGCCAGTGTTTCGACTTCGCGTCGATGATATCCCTAGGATGGTATAGCACTTGGTCACCCTGTTCATAATCCAGTCCAGGAAGTGCCTGTCCGCGAAGAGACTTATGCAAGGTACCTAAGGACTCCGCCTGCACGAAAAACTCCTTGAACTCGGCAATCGATCCACTGACTGCCCGTCTCTGTGCACGATTCATGACACGACGTGAGGTACACTCGTAACTCTGCAGAACTGGAAGCGCGCATGTGCCAGCCGTCCTGATGATCCTGATCCATTCATCCCAAGGCGGGTCCTTAGCGGCAATCAGAACCTTGGCCAACCCATCTGGTCTGTCATCTACGTGCCGTTGACAGGCCTGAAGATAGCGTTCCAACTGCTTGGTTCCGTCCCCCCTGGAGCGGTGAAGTGCAATGGCATTTAAGAAGGTGTGGAGTTGGGTCCACCAGGCACTCACACGATCACGGAGCGGGGTGGCCCTACCTTTCCCTGGCATCTTGACTGTCTGCACTGTGAATCTGGCCCCCTGGGCTCGGGTTGGCCCTGGAGGGACTGGCACATTGTGATGGGCAGAAATACAGCGTTCAACAGACGACACCCATGATGCATATAACCCTGAAAT